TAAAAGTTAGATAATTTAGCAAAATCTGCTGAAAATAATGGATAAATATTTCGAGATAAATAATTATAGTTTTTTTTTCTTTTCCTATTTGTTAGCTATATGTTACTTTAGCAGTTTTATGTTGAATTAATACTAAGTTAATAATATTAAACATTTAAAATAATCTAAAAAGGGAGAAACCAAAGCAAATAGTATAATGTATTTTTTAATCTACATTTTTTGAAGATCTGCTATTTCATCTCTGTTTGAAGTGGTATGAAGTACTTTTTGGGGAGTAATCAACCTGCGTATCAGTTTCCTTTAAAACATATAAAGAAAATTTGTACAAATACTGTCGTAGAATCTCTTTCATTTTTAGAAATATCAAGTTAAAAAAAATCTTGATAGTATTGGCCACTCAATAAGTTATCAGAAAATTTCTTTCTTTACCCAATGGCTTACAATAACATAGAGCTCTTTTGCTTCACTGCTACCTCATTAAATAGTCTGAATATACTGGAAAAAACGCCAGTATTTTTCTCCTAAAAGGTAGGGAAATATATATCACGTTTTCTGCACTGGTGAATGCGCTTGCCTGTAAAGAAAGTTCATTTACGTCTGAACTGTTTTTACACGACTCGGCAGCATGACAGTAAGTTATAAATCACAACTAAGAGAGGCGCAGCCCTCCCAATCTTGTCTTCAGAATTTGCATTTAGAAATGAGCATCAGGATGGTGTGATTTTCTCTGTTTATGCATGTAATGATCATGGCAAACAGGCGGAATAATCATTCTCTCGATTAAATAAATTTCTAGCCATTAAAATTTTATTTTTTTAATGTTATTTATTTATTTATTTATTTATTTTTTTTATTATTATATTTCTTTTGCTTTGTTGCCATTTCCTGTAACGAACAATTTCTGTTTTAAAGTGTGTACGTAAACATCCATTTCATGAAACTAAGATGTAAATTTACGCTTGTTAAGAGATTTTATCAATTATTTCAGTGTGGTGATTGTTACATACGATGTTTGGTGCAAACGTTTTTCCATGTTCAAGAAGCAGCATCTCATAATGTGCTTTTCTTTCCGCATTTTGCTCGTTTAATTAAGTATTTCACTTTCAACTTCATATCTAAACGTGTAAGGTACTTCTTCCTCCTTCCATCATGCCTTCGTGGTGTAACGATAGCACACTCAGCGCGTATTCGAGAGGACCAAGATTCGAGTCCCGTAGAGGGCACTGTACATTTTTCACACCTCGTGCTTCAAAATAACCTAATGTCTCTACAAACGTAGTCGTCAAGAAACTAAATCATGGTTTATGAAAGAGAACATCATTTTGTGACTGGAACGCCGATAGCAAATAGCGTACTTCTTGCTTTGCATGCTTTGTTTTACAGGTCTTTGTTAAGAGCCATAAATGAAAATAAAAAGCTATGAAAAATTATTATCTCTTCATTATTAAAAGTTTTAGCATTAGATTTCCTTTAATTTGAAATTTAAGAAGTGACTAATCGTTGAAATTAGAATGGGACTAAATTCTTATTTTTACTAGTAATTTTGAATTACATTTAATATTTTACATAAATATCGTCAATTTATTTTTTAAACTTCAAGGAATATTTTTATTTTTGCATTAAATTTAGGAAATTGAGTAAAATGAAATAGATGGAAATAATGTGAAATAGATGTAATGCCTCGGTAGAAAATTAATCATATAATATAACGCTGCGTAACAGAAAATCAATAATGTAATCCTTTATTATGCAATAATTTTAAACAATCATAAAATTAAACAAACAAATCTTTTGGTTCAACGGATCGACAGGCTGCTATCAGACGCAGCACGAACTAACGCTTTCAATGTTGATAAAAATAAACTTTTACGAAGATCATCAGCAGTAAGCAATAGGCTAATAAAATATTCCATCTGGTGACTAATTCAACTTAAAAATATGACATTTTTATTAGCGAAGTTGCAAAAATATAATAATATGAAATAAATTTTGTTAAAACGAATGACGAAGCTCGTTCATATAGGATATATGTCCTAGTAAGTCCTAGCATTTTAAATAGTTTAGTCTATTGCAAAATATGTTTCTAAGACTTTTATTCCTTTTCTATAAAGTAATATAGTGGCTGAAGGTAATTAAATTAATAATCAAATTTTGTTTGCTTTGAAAAAAGGACCGTTTGAAATTAACTTTTATATGAGCTTTTAAGAAATGTTGAATCTAAAACTAATATTCCATTGATTTCAATTGGACATTTTTATATTCTTCATGATCTGGATGTGAGACAATTTGTTTTTGGCTTAAAATGTCTTTTCGAAATTTATTCCTGTGTTAAAAGGTCTAACATTTAAAAAATACGTTAATATAGTTCAATTTTACGAAATAGAATATTGTTCATCTTCTACGTTACAAACCGTTCGTTGATGCTTTAGTATGGCAAAGTTTGAGGTCTCTCAAAAATTACAGGTTTTTAGCACTCTGGTAAATATAGTTGAATTTGTTTAAATGTATAATTATAACATTAGGAAACTGATATACCGCTTGATATGTTTCAGACGTCTTTATCAGAATCTGTAAAAATTTTTGAACAGTTACGTTATGCTTGTGAGCATTTATTACGCACGCGAATCGGCAAGAGTCCGCAAAACCTAAGATATTTAATTGCTCTTCAACCCGACAAGTGGTCACTTTTTATTACATTGTCACTCGGTATGGCATATGTCTTTTATTCTTTTTAAACAATAACTGTATAGGTTAAGAAAATGAGCAGTTTATAAGTAACAAAAACATTTTTTTTTCTATTTCATACCCTATTTTATTTTTAATAATGTATCTGATATAATAAATTTAAACAGATTTCGTTTGTAATATACCCTGTTAATAATGACTGTTGGCAGCATTATTGTAATTAATAAAAGATGTATCTTTTTGCCATGTACTATGAACTCTAGTAAAAAATGATTTCATTTTGACATTAAAAAAGTCTTTAGTAGACTTTAGTAGAGTAAAAAAAGTCTTTAGTAGTCTTTTTTTTTACTCTCTTCTTTAGTAGAGTTTCTTCAGAATTTTTGTGTTTGTAACTTTTTTATATATAAGTTTATTTAAAAGATTATTTTATTAGGATCATATGAAAAATTTCCTAAGTAAAATAATTTATTAATGAGCTTTGTTCAGAAAATATAGTCATTTATGCAAATTATTAATGCCTTTTAGTTGTAAAGTGTCCTAAACCAAAATAAAATCACATTCAGATACGTAGTAGTTTTGATTCGAAACTTGATTCAACGTTAAGGATAAATTAGATGATTTCACATAAAGGAATCAATCATTAGGAATGCTCTAAGCTTTCTCATTTCTTACTATCGATACTCTTATATCTTAATTTAGGAAGTGTTTAAAAAAAAGGTAAATTATTTTCTGATCTCGAACAGTCGCTAGATCAGTTTTTAAACAAGCGTTATGTTCTAAAGAATAAAATAACTTTCACTTTTATTTCCTTCCTTTTCCCGAAAAACAGATAACCTTTATTTTCTGTTTACTTTACTTTCAAACATATTAAGCTACAGTAGCAATTACAGAATAAAAGTTAAAATAAAATATGTATTTTCACTTCAACTTGAAGTTACAGGAAAATAAAACTTTGACAAAATTAACGTCCGTTTCTTGAGTAATGAATAAAACTCAAATTAATTACGAATCAAAGTTTATATTTAAAGGCCTAACAACCTGGCTTCACTACTCCGTGACTCATGACATAATTTCAATCGAAGACCAATTCAACAACTCGTAGCGCAAGGTTAAGGGTTGGAAGCAACAGAGGAGTTTCAGCCCAGCAGGCCGAGACTGCCGGAACTCTAAATTTAGGTTTTCTTTCCTCATTAAAACTCGCCTCATTTACATTTTCTGCTGGAATAGGTAAAATAGTAGTGAGCAAGTGAAGCAAATTTCAGCCTAAAATTTAATGGCAATTAAAGTAAACCTAATAAAACCTAATTATTAATTACCTAAATAAAAACTGTTTAGCTTTCCCTCGCTCTGAAAAGTTTCTGTCTTTGAACTAAATAGAAAACTCACTAAACTTCAGTAACACAAACAATATATAACAGCTAAATAAAATTTACTAATTATAAAATAAAATTAAATTAACTTTATTAAAACTACATCTGCTAGTATAGTTCAAAATTAATTATTATTACCCGCCGCTACTTGTGCTGTTTCAGGTACTCAAAGATTTAAATAAATACAACATACAAGCTAACTTTGCTAACATTTCGTAAGGGGATTACAGCCCTGCGAGCTAACAACTATAAAATTCAGTCACCAAAAGTACTGGTCAACTAAATATTAGACTAAGGTAATCTTAGACTAAATACTTCTGCGTGCTGGTTACCTCAGCGCTCTGCTCTAAGCTAAATAAATGTTCGCTCGTTATTGAAGCTAATTTGAATTTTTGTGTCGAATCTAATTTGCATTATGGTAACAATTGACGGAAGGGAATAAAAAAAACGATGACACAGAAAAGGATTCAAATAAAAATATCACGTCAGCTAAAATAAACCATGCAAGCTACATAGCTTTAACAAAAGAAAACAACTTTTCTGTTTTTCAACCAGAATAAAAATCTAACTTTATTTAAATACATTAATATTTGGAAAAATATTCAGTCAGGAAATTAACATCGTAATAGTAGCCATGTTTACATTTGCAAGTGGACGATTTTTTTGTCGTAAAAAATAATATAACAAATTCATACAACGGAATTTAAAGATACGGTATCATGACTAATTCCTGTCCACACATCCGGCTGAACGAACATCAAATAAATGCGACGGTAGGCTTCTAAGAAAACATTCTTATCGACAAATCCGGTACTGATAATGCTAAGCTTTTATTCATGTAAAACAGAGATAGAGTTGAGTAAATTAAATACAACCAAAAATGCCATTGATTTACTTAAGTAGACTGCTTAAATATATCAGTGCTTGGAAATATCTAGTTGAAAATTGGATTTCGAGCTGTGAAGTATTTATCAAGTAGGACTCTAAGTAAATCTACAGTAATAATTAAGAGGTTTAAACAACTCAATACTGCACTTGGATTAGAATGATTCTTTCTCAGTAATATTTGCGTTCCCTATGTAAGTATATTAATGAATGTACCTCTCCATGGTTACTGAGTTTTTTTTTTTTTTTTTTAATTTCTTTACCTATGTATACAGTCATGTCTGCCTAATGAAATTTCGATAACTCTGTAAATGTTTTAAATAATTTTTGTGAGCTGTAATTGTTTGATAAAACATTTTACCATAGTGTACTGCTGAGTATTTCATCTGGCTTTTGGTATGATTTTCATAGTTATAAATCACAGGTAAAACAAAAAAGCAAGCAATATAAAAATCACGATGTAGTTCTATAGATTAGATTATGCTGGCCGCCTAGACGGGAAAGTGGTTAGCGACCTGACTGCCGTGCGAAGAGCCCCGGCTTCGTATCTCGGAGAAGGCATGGATATTTCTAAATGTATAGTGTCTGTTTGACATAAGGGTATTCAAAATATGCGGCTAGCCGAAAGTCCTCTCAAGAGGTTGATGATAGGGAAGAGTGTTGCCTGCATGGTGTTCAAGGCTTTGACGGACAGACGCAGTCTATGCAGTACTCCTTGCCACTATAATAATTCGTTCAATAGTAATTCATGGATTCTGATTCAGACAAGTGAGATTAGTAACAACAAGGAATGTTGCTAACGGCTGCATTGTTTCCCTAACCTAGCAAAAAATGTTATTTGCTTCTTTATTCATTTTCATGTTTCGTATTAATTATAAATTTAATTGAGTGTAGTTTAAAAAGATAAACGTTTTATTTTGTATGATAAATTAGCCAAGGATATAACTGACGCATTTATTGCAACCGTAAAATTGCTTGAAATCATATGCAGTGGTGTCTGATTGTTTAGACCAGCGGTCGCCAAACGGTGGTCCGTGAAAACTTTTTTGATGGTCCGCAGAAAAATTGGAACATTATTTATATTTTTATGAAGATTCAATTTAAAAAATGACGCGCAATAAAACCTATTTCGGAATATAGATTATACTTTTTTTTTTAATTTTAGCTACTACTTTTAGCGAAATTCCTATTTAGCGACTTTTTAGCTGCTTTTGCTGGTATATCTAGCGGCATTTGAAAGTGAGAGTTGGCATCCATGGATATGCTGCTGTTATCAATAATAGCGCTAACTGGAATTCTCTTTCCTTTTGAATTACAAATATATGCTATTGTGGTTGTTAATAACACAGTTTTTCTCCGTGTCAATAGGCAACACTATGGACTTTATGAGAACCATCTGCATTCTTGTTTATAATTCCATGACTTGAAGTTTCCGTTTTTGTTTAGTCTAACTGTTGATCGATGGCGCCATTGCGGAGTAAGCGATGATTATTATGTTTACAATAATTAAAAGTTGGTGGCATAACACTTTCAGTTCATTGATATTGCTTTACGTTTGTAGGTTTGTTCTTGCTTTTCGCGATGTTTCTTTTCAGTAATATGGAAATGTGAAGCTTTCTGTACAAGAAGGTAAGATTTTTGTACTTTCCATTAAATCTTCCAATGTGAACGAAATATGTGTATCGGTGAGATGTTAATATTGTTTTAATTGTTGCTCATAATCAGGTGCGTAGCCTGAATTTCCATAAGGGCATGCTGCTGAACACTAAATATTTCAAAAATTATATTATCAAAGGAAAATTAGAATTACACGCATTGGAAAGTTGAATATTGTTTTTGCGCATTAATATGTTGTTAAACATTGCATAATATGAAAATAATTTATTGCATTTAATCAATATTAGAAATTCCTCAGATTTAAGTTTTTTTTAATTCATATTATTGGTCCGCCAAGTATAAAATTATATAAGTAGTAGTGGTCCATGAATTCCTAAGGGTTGACGACCGCTGGTTTAGACTATTAGTTTGCAATGGAGTCTATGTAACTTGAAGTGGTTAGGAGATAGAAGAATAATCGGCTTCGAAACAGAGTATTAAGAAAATGTATGGCACATAAAATGAAGTCAGTAGCGCCCATATTACTTAGTGCAGAAAGTGAAATCAATAGCGCCCATGGTTACTTAGTGTAGTGGTTTTCATTATTGGCAGTTTTGTAAATTGAAGTACCTTTATTTTTAGATAAGAGCAGTATTTTCAGCTTATTGAAAAAATCTGTTTACATAACAACACTGAAAAGTTAGCACATTTCATTCCCTTCCCATCATGTTTTGTCCAATGCAATATGTTCGCCATTTGTCAACAACGCTTTACTTTTGGGTAGATGTTACCAAATACTTACATTCCTTCCTCCTATTCTAATTCCTTATTCTTTTTAGAAAGTTTAGCAGAGAGAAAATGTAACATCATGTTTTGTCCAATGCAATATGTTCGCCATTTGTCAACAACGCTTTACTCTTGGGTAGATGTTACCAAATACTTACATTCCTTCCTCCTATTCTAATTCCTTATTCTTTTTAGAAAGTTTAGTAGAGAGAAAATGTAGAGGCGTAAATTTTCTTAGATAAATTTAAAGGTGCTTCTTAGGAAGCCGACTAGAATTTAAGCTTAGGTAAGTGATAATTGAAAATTAAATTAATATATTAAAACTCGGTATTATTTAAGTTAATAAGTCAAATTTTAAATTATTGATTTATTTCAGCACTGAAAAGCAAAAAACTGGAATGAATAAGGGGGAAATAGCCTTAACTCCTAGCCGCTATTGGCATCGATATCATGATTTTAAATTTATTAATATTATGTAATTCGAATAAACGCATCTTTCAATTTCTAAACATTCACAAATTAAAATTATATTAAAAAAAACTGAAAAAAAAAAAAAAAAAGATAGTTTCAAAACTCGAACTTCCTTCTTCCAGTTAAACACAAAAACTTCCCATCTACATAGAATAAGTCCGTAATAGAATAATAATATATGTTAGTTGATACAGGTAGACGTAGATTTCAAAGAAAAGACAACAAAAGTAATATTTCCACTCTACTCTTACGCAATTTTCTTTGCTTTTACTTTTACTTGCTTCATTTCTTTCCAGTTACTCACTTTATTATTTTTAAATTAAAAAAAGTGAACGGAAATTGGACATTATAATTCTTTAAAAATTACAATAAAGGCAGATAGTCAGTTTGTTTGTTTTTGCTTTGCATTCTAAAAGGATTTGTTCTGGATGACGCTAATTTACTTCAAGTGATTATCAAAATCTATATATGAAATCTCTATATCAATCTATATGTCAAAATCTGTATCTTCAAGTGATTTTCAAAATTTTGAATAAAAAATAGGTACGTAAATAAGGTTTTTTTGGTTAAAATCTTTAACACTCATAATAGCATTTCCATGTAATTTAACTTTGACTTTTTAACATAACTTATCACGAAATTTATCATAAACTAATCACGACTTATCGCAACATTCGAGCAGTAGTATGGATTAAATATCGGTCTGTGGCCTCACCAGCGGCCGAGAGGGAAGTCACTGAACACTAGTATTTCAATTCGAGGTTCGAATTCCGCGAAAGGGCTGCTGCATAGACGTTTTCGTGGTTTTCCCAATGTGTAACTTGTATACGATTCAGTTTCCTTAAAAAGTCCTCCACGAAGGCATCCCTCTTTTAGGCAGATAGCCCTTGAGCCTTTGCCGTACTCACATAAACCAAACTAAATATATATTGTCATACATATGGTCACTGCAAAATTTTTCGGTAAAATTTGGTAATGTGCAACGTTTTGGTAAAGCGTCAAGTTTTCAAAGTGTTAAATGTTGAGCACATTAGTACTATTCATATGAATTTAACAGCTGAAGTGCGTAACTTGAAAGAAATACATTTATGAGAGAATATTTTATAAAACTTCTTGTATTCGAATTTCTTAAAACAGATTAATTTAACACAGAAGAAATTATTACAAAAGCAAATTTATTTTCAGCTGAGGTTGATTTCTGCAAAAATTAAATGAAAATAGCAAATTATTATTACTGACCTTTTCTGCATACGCCATTCGCTAAACGTATAAAATTTATTCAAGTTTTATTTATTTAAATTACGCAAATTTAAATATATGAGAAGTAAGGATGTAACTGAAGAGATACCCTAAAGCCTAGATCAAGGGAAGAGGACTAATTGCTTTAATGGAAAGGGTAGTAATTGCTGGTAGGATTTAGGATGAAGAAGAATGGGTTGTATAAAATCGCACTTTCTCAGCTGAGTACAATTCCAATGCTGGGAAGTTTAACTATCACTAAGAAACAATTTCAGAATATCATTCGCTTTATTGAAATTCATTTGTAGTAATAAACCAACAACATTCTTCGTAACAAAACGTTTCATAATTTCGAGCATCTAGGACTGCAGTGGCCATCGCAATTGTAATTACGTAATACGAGAAACTCGGCATGTGATCGAATTCAGTATCGAAGTCTGCGATGCAACAAGCATCAATATCCTACTTAGGTAATAATAAAGCTTCAAATATCTTTTTAGAACTTTAGAAGTTTACGCCATTTTGATATGTTAAACAGTTTTTAATAATATATTTTCATAATGTAAATTTTCGTTTACATAAACACTCTATTTATTTAATTTTGTTGCACAGTAATATGAATATTGAAGGAAGTCAAAAAGTCTGACGGAAGTTAATGGAAAGATGTCTTTTAAATGCCGAGAGCCAACGAAGCATTCCGTAACTAAGCGCTCTACAGATGCCACCCGTCAGAAAGAGAGCAGAACAGGTGTTTTTCTTCATCATAGAAAAGATGCTTCATTCACAAATGAAGGTCACGCCTCGTACCAAGGAAATCGCTTGGGAAAAAAATCATTTGATGTTTCGTCTTTAGTTTTTTTTTTTTTTTTTTTTTTTTTTTCACTCTATACCGCACATTTTGAAAAACAGAATATCCTGATACGAATACCTTTTAAAAGCTTGCAAAGCACTTTAAATGTAATTTGATATAAATATGACTGTGTAGAGACATTAGGACGAAGCCACTCTAGGAAGGTGGGAGAAATACCTTATAACTGTTTTGAAGAAATTTCATTAAATTAAATAATATTAGGTCAAAAGATATTTTTATGTGTTTTAGTTA